CTGGTACATCCCGAGCGTTCCTGGCACCAAGGGTGTGAAATGCAAAGCGTCCAACGACTTGCCACTCGGGGCACCCATCATGCCCGACAATGTATAAGGATTGAACGTATGCTATGGGTTTCGATCTCAGCGTTGGCTGCGCTCCTTATGCAGAGTTTCCGATGTTGTTGTGGAAACCAAGGCCGCACGTGCTCCTCGCATGAACTATATGATGCGCACAGGGGTGACTATGCACACGCCGGCTCATTCCTGGCGAAATGGCGCGTGTGCCCCGATCTATGTCGCGACGGCTCAGGTTTCATCTGTGAACTGCATAGTGGTCGCCACTTACACGCACGGTCAAGTTCATTACTGCTGGTTTAACCTTTGCATAAATTACCTTTATTTGTTGCTTTTGCAGGTATTTCATGTCGGACTCCTCTAGAAAGTACTAATTTCGTTGTGGTCGAACAAAAATTTCTATCCACAGCTCAAAACTCCATCGCGAGGGTGTTTTTCAAAAAATCGTCAATTTACACATGTGCGCCTTCTTGTGATGCGGCTTCACATACGGCGCCGGCTTCTTCTTCGCTTATTTGATAACTTGCTCAATTTCAGCACGTTGAGCACAGTGCGGGCAGTCACCCGCACCGATAGTGTCTTGGCGCTTTGCGCTGCTGACATGTTTCGTACGATGCATTGCGGTAAATGCGGCGTATGTCACGATTCGTCAACTTTACGCGCCTTCCCGACCGCTACTTCGTACCGTACGTGCCCGGGGACTTCAGGTACGAGCGCACTAATGACTCAGGTCGTTTGAGTCGACGTCCAATCTCACGATTTAATTTGATATCTTCTCGTGCTTCCTGGCCAAAATATGGCTCATTTCGATGCCTGTGAGCTTGGAACCCCTTGGCATGATACGAAGTTGACCAGTTTTGTCATGATTCGCCACAATGTTGATTATTCATTGGCCAAATCCCCACGCCAACTTGTTTCCATTGTGAACGCGTCTTTTGACATTTAGAAAATTTAGAACGCAGTGCGCATTTAAATATTTTTGGCGATGCCTCAGACTGGGTGAATTCAACCATATTCCTATAAGTAGGCAAATTCAAGCTTACCGGCTGTATTGTACTGCAGCAATTGCACTTGGAGGTATACCCTTCATGGCTCAGAATAATGTTACCTTGATTTCTGTGCAATCCCATTCGCAATTTTTCACAAAAAGTGAGGTGATGTCAATTAACAACAGGTTTTCGGCGAAGATATCCTGAAGATCATATTCGTCGTCGTCGCTTTCTTCGTCATGGCTGGTCTAAATCAATCGTACCAGACATGTATGTGACGTGTATTCGTCTCTTGAAACAAAAAAGCGTTTGTTCGTCCATATTGACCTTTTATGTGCCCACGCTTGATACCACGTTTCGACAGATATACTTTGACTGAACGAAACTGCCTCGTCCTTTTCGTTGGTTTCATCGAAACAAACAATTCTACGTTATATCATCACATCTTCCGCAACAACGCGACTTTGGGTCAATCGACGCTTACCAATGAATTGTTCGACAAGACGAAGCACTCATTTTACTGTGTTTACAGAAAGTGGCTTTCTGCAAGTCAATATTGGTTGAAGTGATCGCACCTCTTTTGATAAAAGGAAAGTTATGCTCTTTCAGGAATTTCGGGCATTCACTCATACACACGAGGCAGCAGTCGAGGAATGAAGCGGGCGTATTCTGTGAGCAAAACTGCATGAAAACATGTACTATTTCCAAAAATTCGCAGTGGATCATGAAATTTGACATAAAATCCCCTCGATAGTCTCGTGCACGGTCACCCTGCATTCCTTTGAAAATACCTATTCCCTTAAAGCGTAGGCTCTCAGTGATCAGCCAAACTCTTTGTAATAACCCAATAGAATCGCAAGAATCTTGTGATTGGATGAAATATACTTCTCCGGCAGCAAAACCCATCAAAGCTTTATGGTGAAAAATGCATTAGAATTCAGAGGCAAGAAGTGTGTCAAACGTGAAAAATGCCGACAAGAACCCTGTACTAACCCGACGAGATTGCAGCCGCAGTGAGCAACGTGATCATCAACCAACACATAATTCCATCCGCTGCCATACATATGACATCCCTCAACGAACGTTACGCACAGACATGACAAGAGTCAAATCCGGTACTACAACGACCAAAACAAAGATGGGACCAATGCCTATCCTGCCACCTCGTACGAGGCATACTTGGTCACCTGGATTTCAGCTATGCTGCAAGATGGTCATCCTGTTGGACGCCAATCCATCTTGCACAAAGCCAGCCAGATGACGACCATCGTGCAATACCTCAGCCAACCGTACCAACTATCATCTGGGTGGTATGATCGTTTCATGTGTCACCATTCTGAGTCCAAGACGGCGAATTCTCAAATTCTGAGCAAGGCGTACAATACCGTTGACTTAAATACAGTTTCGACTTCTACCATGAGCTCATGCATTCCATATTCCAAGTCGATTTTGAACCCTCGCGCGTGTACAACATGAATGAGACCAGGTTCAGTCCAAGCAAGATGCCAATGAAGGTGGTTGTGCACGCAACTCAGCTAAGGCGTACGTGGAAGAGGCATCGACATCAGCACATGTCACGTTTGTGGCATGTGTCTGCGCAGATGGCTCCAACGTTGCACATTGTTTTGTGCTTCCTGGTTCCTGTGTGCCAACTGAAGTCTGTGACGACCTGAGCATCCCTGGCGCAGCCGTTACAGCATCTGAGAAGGGATGGACGAACTCGTATATCTGCAGAAAGTGGATGTCCATGCCGAACTCAGTTATCGAGGCGTCAACACTATGGCCGATTCTTTTCGTACTAGACGGCTGTTCAACCCACTACTCCAACAACATCTTTGAAGGTGCAATGTCAATGAGCTTTCTGCTGCAGTTTTTGCCAGCTAACACGACCCACACGTTCCAGCCATTGGATGTCGCGGTTTTTCGACCGTTCGAGCAAGCAAGCATCCGCCACGAGATCGATAATGAACAGTTGGGGTGATATCTCGACGAATATCAGCAAGCACAAGGCGATTGCTATTGCGTTTTGCGTTTGGATGAAACTTCAATATCCAACGGTTTCGTGCGAATTGGACTTTGCCCGCCGTCACTGGACATTCTGTTGTACCGACTGTCACTTGTCAAGCCGTCTGTGCAAGATGTTTGTGCCGCCGAAAACAGTTAGTTGAAGCGTCCATCGTAGGTGAGGAACAATTTGCTTCATTACAGCCAAAGAAAAAGGTGACAGATTCCAGAACGACATGGACTGTCAGCGGGAAATTCATTACCGCAAATGATGACGCTATTCTTCAAGCCTAAGCCACCTCATGACCAAAATCACAGAAAGCTACTGTAAGTGCAGAGGAGCAAGGTTTGTCGACTCGATCATAGTGTGAATCGGAGAATGAAGCATAAATGTGGTTGTGTTTTGGTCTGCCATTGTGTGCTGAGTAGAAGCAACCTGGTGATGCAACAAGTAATATTCAAACAAAGATAAAAAGATCTTCTGCTGAGGGTTTACCCTTGACATTCAGGTATATTGCACATACATCAACACAAGGGGTTGATCCCTGCGCAATCCGCTTGCGAGGCGGGAGCAGTACAACGTGAGTTACTTACCCTCGAAATAG